TCAGTGGGACTTTCACTGCCTAAGAGATTATTCTGGTGTCTAATGTGCGCACTAGTGGCCAGAGATGTACAGGTGTTTGCACGCACAAGCTGAACTGGCTGGAAAACACACTCAAAACAACTCCCATGTTTCCATTTTCCCTCGTCATTGGAATGTTCCGACCTGCTCTGGCTGAAAGCTAAGGAGCAGCACAGCCCCACCGCGATAGACTTCGTCTGCACACGGGAGGGACTTCTTCCAGACAACGGCATCTCTAAGAGATGGTGCATTTTGAAACCCAGCACTATGCAGACTGCCTCACTCAAAGCCCCCTATCATGGCTCCTATGCAAGAATGTGGGATTGGGATAAGGCTGCCCTGAAAAAACACGCAAAAGATGGTATTTCCGCAGAAAGAGTCAGGGCTTGATATAGTCCACAATGCTGAAGGCCCAGATGTTAAAGGTATTTAGAGGCTACCACACTCAGCATTGCAAGGCCTAGCTGATTTAGGTACCTACATCTCACGTCCAAAAGTAATGTCAGCATGTAGGCGTCTAAATAACCTCTACTATCAATAGGATTTTTGGGCTCCTAAAGCCTAAATCCCTTTTGAAAAACCCCACTCAGGTTTTACATATAATGAACACTGAATGTTTTTATTTATATAGTATTTCCATCTTGTGCATGTATTTATATATGTTTTGTGATTAATGCTCCTGCCAACCTTTTCCAACCATGTATGGATTTTTTTTCCATACATGTGCAGAATAAGTTTTGTTATGTTCACCCAGGCATGTACAAATGTGCACCACATAAACCTAGCACTGAGTAATCTGTTAATCAGCTGGGCAGCACTGGAATTTCTCCTGAGCAGCTGCACAAGCACACAGCTTACAAGCAACATTGAACCCAAGGGATTTAGGATCCTAGGCTCCTTTGTGAAATGTGACAGATGGCTTGTTGAGCGTGCCTAAATGAGTTAGCTGTTTAGCTGCCATTGCTCTTCTAACCAATGTAGGCAAGTGTGTGTTATCACTCACGCACTTAAGCCCCATCCTCAAAAGAATTTAGGTGCCCAACTCCCATTGAAATCAAGAGGTGCTTCAATAACTGAGGATCCCGGCCTTACGAGCCTAAATCCTAATGAAAATTAATTGGACTTCAGAACCTAAGTGCCTAAATCACGTTTGAAAATGGGACTAAGCCTCCAGAATTGTATCCGCCTTTTTGAAGCATCACACCCTATGTACACAAGCCAAGGGTGTGTTGCCACAGGTAGCAAGCCCAGGTGAGTCTATAGTGTTGAAGGTGACAGGACTGGGAGCAAACACCTGGGTCCTCTGTTAGTCCAAGCTTCCGGGACTGTGGGTCTGGATCACGAATGCAGCAGGAGGCTGCGGTAGCAACCGAAGTGTAAGACTGAAAATGGCGGGAGGGAGACTAGGAGCTGGCTTGACTCCAGCAGGCGAAGGAGCTTTCATAGGAGCTAAGAAACTCTGACCTTGGCCCAGGTCAGCATGACTTCCACTGACCTAGAGATAACAAATGCGGTGGTAAAGCTGATCTGTGGCCCAGGGCCAGTTACAGCGAGCGGGTGGCTATCACAGGAAGGATTGTCTGTACATATTCTGGGGGAGGCGATGAACCTCCCCCCGGGGCTGCCTCAGGCAGCAAATTGCAAAGGGGCAGCCATTTGCCTCCTCTGTGGCCTGTTAGCCTCTGAGGGGGGCTGAACACGCCAAAGAATGGGGGCAAAAGAATAAGAATGAGGCCATTTGGCTCTTACGTACCCAGTCACTGGAAATACGCTCCCTCTTGACCCAGGATGCCCAGAAGAACTGGTTTAGCCGGCGCCAACTCTCTTTGGCAACGGAGTCACCTCAGAGGGGTTTGCGTTCATGTGTGGAACCTGGCAAGGCAGTCCCCTCTGTGGGAGTGTAGGGAGTGAAGATTTTAAAAGGACAGAGGCTGATTTGCTAATTTAGGGTGTAGGGGGGTATTCTCCAGTTGAGGAAGGGGAGTTGCAGCCTGGGGTGAGAGGGCCCTGCCTGTATTCCTGATCCCCCATGGCCTGGAGGACTCTGGCCAATCAAAGGGAATGTCTACGCTTGCAGCTTATTTCGGAATAGGGCTGCAAATGTAGGCGTTCGGAATTGCAAATCAAGCCCAGAATTTAAATATCCCGCGCTTGATTTGTATCTTCCCGGCCGGGTGCCATTTTTTTTTTTAAATTTACAAGCCCGGACTAAGTGCCCGTGTCTACACACAGCAGTGAATCGGGCGTTCAAAATAAAGCCCTAGTTCGAACCATCTGTTATTCCTCCTGCAATGAGGTTTCACAGGTAGTTGGAACTAGGGCTTTATTTCGAACGCCCGTTTCACTGCCGCGTGTAGACACGGGCACTTAGTCCGGGCTTGTAAATTTCAAAAATGGTGCCTGGCTGGGAAGATGCAAATCAAGCGCGGGATATTTAAATTCTGGGCTTGATTTGCAATTCCGAATGCCTACATTTGCAGCTCTATTCCGAAATAGGCTGCAAGCGTAGACATACCCAAACAGACTCATACTTCATCTCAAAGAGATGGGCCACATCCAGTCAACTCAATTAGCCTTGTTAGCACCCAGATGACAGGGTAATTTTTTCTCCCTCTCCCGTCTTATTCGGAGGGGCCCCCTTTTTTCTCCACTTAAGATCATTTTATCTGAAGAGGTGGGTTTTGCCCACGAAAGAGCATGAAACTCTACATATATTTTTGTGTGTGTGTCTCTAAGGTGCCATAGGACTATTCATTGTTTTCAAAGTTACGGACTAATGCGGCTGCCCCTCTGAAGCTCAGAGAGCAGTGAGGAAACTGAGGCAGGGCCATGTGTTTAGTGTGCATTGTTTTGTATGGCCCGTACTCGTCTGTGCTTTGCCTGATTAGATCTAAAAGACCATAAAGAAGTTGGATTGCGCAAAGCTTGTGTGTGTCGACTGCTTCACAACTGCTGCTTGCTGGAAAGCCGGTTCCAACGTCCCGAGAGAGCCCATCAGAATGGCTAAATGCTCTTCAGAACACCAGGGGTAGGATTCCCTTCACAGCAGACCTAGTGGGTGGCAAGGAAGTGGTGCTTGCTAGGATCTATGTAGTGGCGCCTGAAGATTAATTAGACAGCAAGCATGAATCATGAGCCTGTGTAGCTCCCGCACAGGGACTGTTAATTACGCTGAACTGGGTGTCGGTGTTGCAATACAGATCACCATTCCCTGAGCATGTGCTAAAGGCTATTGATCCCCTTTCTCACGTGATCTTCTTTGGGCTGAACGTTTTGGGAGTGGGTAGCATGGCACAGAATAAACTGCATCTCTCTAGGGATCAGCTATGACCAAATTTTACTCCCCAGCTGCTTGGTTCTTCCATGTAAGCCATAACTGTCACGCTCCAGAATACCAGGTCCCCCCCTTAGCCACTGCCAGAAACTGGGCACCTGTCCCACGAGAGATTTTCAGACTTTGAAGATGAGCCAACCCCCAAATGGAAAGCTCCACATTTTTCACGAACTGATAGTTTGAAAAAAAAAAAAATCTCCTCAGGCCAATCCCCTTTTGTTTCAATTTCAACCTTTTATCTTTTTTTTTTTTTTTTTTAAGAAAAAAACTTTTTTCTTCAAGTATAAATACAATCAAATGTCAAACCAAAAGTTGTTTGGAAGAAGGCAAATAAAACATCTTGTTCAGTCAATGCTGAGCCAGGACATTGTAGCCATTTCGAAACTGATTTTCTCCAAATTGGCAGTTTTGGCAAAGCCGAAAGCTGCTTTCCTGGGAGCAGTGTCAGTGGCGATGACTCAGCATTTTCCGGGGGTTTGTGGGAAAATTCCCCACCTCTTCTCCTGCTGCCACACGTTTCTCTTCCTGCCCACACCCCCTCTTTCCTCCCCTCCTCCTCCTCCTCCTCACAAACTGCTGTTAGGCAGCACGCCACGCAGACGGCTGCCAGTTTACTCCCCCTGCCTTTCTGCACAACTGTCACTTCTGAAAGCCTGCCCAGATGTCTTGCTGCAATTCCTTTCCAGCGAGGGCCAGGCTTTCTTGCTGTGACAGCAAGAGGGTGGGTGGAGAGGGCGGGCAGGAGCATCCAATGGGCCAGAAAAACTGGAGGGACGGGGGCAGGAAATGGTTGGGACTGCAGCAGTAACAAAGGGGTGGCGTCCTCAGTCTCCCAAAAGAACACACGCGTGAAAGCAAAGGTGTGTTTGTGCAGCCTCGCAGGGTGTATTGCCGTATGCCATGGAAACAGGCACCATCACAAGAAAATGGGCCAGGGAAGGACAAAAGGACAAATTCAGGCCCGGCATAGGTGGGCACTCCTATTACTTCCTTGGGACCAGAGTGTCTCAGAGGGAGGGGAAGTGGTCTAATGGTTACAGCAGGGAAGTGCGTCTCGCCTTGTCCCCCGCTCTGCACAGACGTGGTCACTGCGCCGCTTGCTGCCTCAGTTTCCCCATGTGTAAACGGAGCTGCGTGAGCACCAGAGGGGAGTGGGAGGCCTTGTTAAGGAATGTCTTTGAAGTGCTTGGAGAGCCAGAGGGGAAAGGCACTGAGGGAGCAGGCTCCTCATGCAGTTAGGGTTCTGCTTAATCACCCTTTTAGTTTGCTATCCACTTTAATTCCTGGAGGCAAGCTGGCGTGCCAGCCGGGGATTTTTATTTGATGCTGTTTAAGCAAATGGCTCTGAAACGTGAAAGCAGCTCCGCGGAACCCTGTTGTAACAATGCACCCGGGGCCCTGTAGTAACAATGCACTTGGGGCCCTGTAGTAACATAAGGAATGTCTTTGAAGTGCTTGGAGAGCCAGAGGGGAAAGGCACTGAGGGAGCAGGCTCCTCATGCAGTTAGGGTTCTGCTTAATCACCCTTTTAGTTTGCTATCCACTTTAATTCCTGGAGGCAAGCTGGCGTGCCAGCCGGGGATTTTTATTTGATGCTGTTTAAGCAAATGGCTCTGAAACGTGAAAGCAGCTCCGCGGAACCCTGTTGTAACAATGCACCCGGGGCCCATGCCCTCTGAAATCAATGACTCTGTTGCCCTTGACTCCAGAGGGACGGCAGGATCGGGCCCTTCGGGGCTGTTTCTCTCTAGACTTACACCCCTCCCAGGGGTTCGATACAGTTTGCAGCACTGATCCAAACCAAGTTTCCATTCATCTTCCGGATCCAAGATCGTTTCTTTGCGGGAAAAAAAAATTACAACATTGTGACACGTCAGCAGCATGGTGTGGCCGCGCGTGCTCCAAAGCGAGACACCGGCATGTTCGTGAGGATGATTTTGGCTGCATAGGTGCTGTCGAAAAGTCACGCAGAAAAAGTGACTCTGGGGTTTAAAGGTGGCAGGTAAGTAGCTAGCGAAGCACAATGACGGCATTTACTCAGGTTGTTTTCTCAGCGTATGTTGGCATACGGCCTCCCGCCCCCCGACACAGGTTTTGTTTTTGTTCAGTGACTTTTGTTTTTAGAAGAGTCAATTGCTTATTTTCATTGCTAGGGCCCCATCCGGACGCCTGCTCCACGTACTCTGTCCTAGTGAGATAAAAGGGAATTCATCGGACTAGGCTCGGTCCCAGCCACAATTGGTTTGGTTTCAAGCACAGAGAGGAATCTAATTGTCTTGCTTTCTATGGGAGAAACTGTCATGACTGCAGCTCTGTGGGGCTGTTTAATGAGGAGGGCAGGGAAGGTCTTCTGGGAGTCAGGGAACCGGGGTCAGATTCCCTGCTTTGTCACAGACTCCTGGCCCATCCGACCTTGGGCAAGATATTTACAACTTGTTTTTTTCCAAAGGCCTCCAGGGCTTGCAATAAATGGGAGCTGGGGTAGGGTGTGTGTGGGTCAGAACCTTAGAAAAATCAGCCCGTTGCTTTGCTTCAGCAATCCCAGCAGCCAACCTGGGATGATATGAATAACACTCAGCCCAAGCGTGTTGAGAGACGAGATCACCCCTCCCAGGATAAATCCTCTAGGGGCTTGGAGGCGTTAACAGCTTTAAAACAAAAAAAAAGGAAGTTTTGCTTCATGCAGCGCACAGTCAACCTGTGGAACTCCTTGCCAGAGGACGTTGTGAAGACCAAGACTTTAACAGGGTTCAAAAAAGAATGAGATAAATTCATGGAGGTCCGGTCCCTCAATACCTATTAGCCAGGATGGGTAGGAATGGTGTCCCTAGCCTGTTGGGCTGGAAATGGATGACAGGAGAGGGATCACATGATGATTCCCAGTTCTGTTCACTCCCTCTGGGGCATCTGGCATTGGCTGCTGTCAGAAGACAGGGTATTGGGCTAGATGGATCTTTGGTCTTGCCATTCTTATGTGTGCCAACTGACCCAGTATGGCCATTCTTATGCTCTTACCTTCTACCTTCAGCCATGCCTTTTGCTGGAAGGGGGAAAATAAATGTGGAGGCTTCTCCTGCTCCCAACCTTATGGCTCCCAGAAAAGTATGAG